TTCTGTAATATTCTTTGGTCGTCTTGCATGCACAGCTCTTTTAAGATCTACCCACAAATTTTCAATGATGTTTAAATCAGGGGACTGTGATGGCCATTCCAAAACCTTCAGCCTGCGTCTCTTGAGGTATTCCATAGTGGATTTCGAGGTATGTTTAGGATCATTGTCCTGTTGTAGAAGCCATCCTCTTTTCAGCTTCAGCTTTTTTACAGATGGTGTGATGTTTGCTTCCAGAATTTGCTGGTATTTAGTGGAATCCATTCTTCCCTCCACCCGTGCAATGTTTCCTGTGCCACTGGCTGCAACACAACCCCAGAGCATGATAGATCCACCCCCATGCTTAATAGTTGGCAAGGTGTTCTTTTCATGAAATGCTGCTCCTTTTTTTCTCCAAACATGCCTTTGCTGATTGTGTCCAAAGAGTTCTATTTTAACTTCATCAGTCCACAGCACTTGTTTCCAAAACGCATCGGGCTTCTGTAGATGTCCTGTTGCATACTTCAGACGTTGGATTTTATGATGGGGACGCAGATAAGGTTTTCTTCTGCTGACTCTTCCATGAAGGCCTTGTCTGTGCAAGCATCGCTGCACAGTGGAACGGTGCACCACCACTCCTGAGTCTGCTAAATCTTCCTGCAGGTTTTTTGCAGTCAAATGGGGGTTTTGATTTGTCTTTCTGACCAGCATACGAGCAGTTCTGTCCGAGAGTTTTCTTGGTCTTCCAGATCTCATCTTGACCTCCACAGTTCCCCTGATCTGCCATCTCTTAATTACATTTCTTACTGTGGAAACTGCAAGCTGACAACGCTTTGCTATCTTCTTGTAGCCTTCTCCTGCATTGTGGGCATCAATAACTTTCATTTTCAGGGTCTTACACAGCTGCTTAGAGGAACCCATGGTTGCTGGGTGTCCACAAGTGTGTGCACAAGGTTTGAAGAGTCAAAGTATTTGTACAGCTTTGAAATTGGCATTTACCAATGACAGCTGTTGCTGTGCATCAGATCTAACGAGCTGATTAAGGTCTGATACCTTGTGAGAGACTTTGAGACTCTGGAACTCTTAGGGTGCCCAAACTTTTGCACCATGCCATAATCATGTTTTTATTTTTTATTTTTGTTCAATTTATGGCATAAGAAGTAACTATGCATCACTGTTTGCAGAAAATATTGTGCATTTTTTCCATTTCCAAGAGAAACTGTGTTAACATCTGTTCAAATAAAAAATCACCAAAATCTGTTATTTATCAAGGGGTGCCTAAACTTTTGCATAAGACTGTACAAATAATTTAGAAAAAGGCAGAGTGCACGCTTCAATGGGGAAAAAAAAAAAGTCAAAGTCCTCGTCTTCAGCTTCAAAGTCCGACTGAGTCAAATCACTAGTCCTGAAAATCAACTCAAGTAGTTACAACATGGCAGGTCAGGGCTCAGGCAGTACAGGTGAAAGAATATAAATAACAATCCCATACCATTTTATGGCTTTGTGTGATAGTAAAGCACCTAGCAACTTGCTTTTGAAAAGTGCTATAGTTATATGATGACATGTCAAGTGCAGGATAAAGTACACCGACTATCTGATGGTCAAAGTTCATTCTTGACCTTTGACCAGCAGTTCAGAAAACACTGCTTTTCTGGAGCTTTCATTTAGGACTACGACTAACATTTACTTTAACGACTTATCAGTTAATTGTTTGGTCTATAAAATGGCAGCAAATAATGAAAACACCCATTCAATTTCATGAACTCCAAGGTTATGTTTTCAAAGATTTTCTTTGTTCATCCAACAGCCCAATCACCAAGAACAATCAATTCCCAGTTAAGACAAAGAAAAACTGCAAACAATTACAATTAACAGGCTGGAATTTCATTTTTGCTTGAAAACCTGCAAATAATTATTAATGAACAAAATAACTGCAGATTAATCGATTTGTTCAGCTTTGCTGAATCATTTTGCAAGATCCTCATCAGCAGAGTTGTCCAGATGTACATAGATGATCAAAACTACAATTTCTGAGCACTTTAAGGACTTTTAAAGAAAAGCCAGTCATCAGCCAATAAGAAATCTCCCTTTGATCATGTGATCTGACCAACAACTCCAGAACAACTACTACTGTGAATGGGTCTTGTAGTTTTCTTAAAGAACAATGACCAGCAGCATACAATGTAAAGATCTGTGCTGCATTACATCAGAAAATGACTCATGTTGTCAATTTACAACTAGAATTAGCTTGAAATCATTAACTGATAAGACTATATTTACTCTCTTGCAGTAAGTTTGTAAAATTTGCTATTAAAGCATTAAATATAAATACATACTGGCAATGTTCACCTTGTCATTTCTTTGCTATGTAAAGCATCTTTGACACTCTAGAAAAGCATTCAATAAATAAAATGCATTATAATTACAAAACAAGAAAATCCACACACACTTGCTGCTTCATAATACATAAAGTGCTATTTACTGATTTTTGACTAGTCACATGGACTCCCATCACAAAAATAACATCACTACTGTACACATTTGCAAATGTGTAACAGGAGACACTGCATATATAAAACTAAACACACGGTGTATGTGACCAACACAGTTATACAGGTAATTTAACCCATTTTAACAGACCATCGTTTATAAGAAACCATCTGCAGTATGTTTTAAGCCCAACAGCATACGGACACTCTTGCCGCCCATCGTACATGTAATTTTGCCCCTAACAAATGTTCAGGTGTTCTCCTGGACACAAATCCAGCCAAGAGCAAGCTCTTAATTTTAACATACTACATATGAAGGAATCTTTGGGATCTTAAGAATCTCAAAACATCTGGCACTGATAACATGTTTTTAAGGATGCTACATAAGAAACAAGGACACCTTTCCACACACACCAAAAAAGTGTGTGTTTACACACACACACACACACCAAAAAATAGGTGGGGAACTGTGTGAAAATCATCCATCACTCCTTATCGTCTGTCACTGGATGTCATCGTCGTCAAATAGATCCTCAAAATCTGTGGAAGGAAAACAAACCCACTGTTTATACACTGAAGCTGCATGACAGCTGGACAATAAAACTAGGGCAGCATTTCAAATGTTTCTGCAAGCCAGGCATTTTCTCATAAAACAGTCTTATAGGTTGATGGGTCAAAGGGGTGCAAGGTGATAAAAGTAACAGGAATGCAGTTGCTGAGGAGTCTGCAGACTGTGCATCCTGCTGGCCTGATGGTTTGTGAGGTCCAAGTTTAGCAGAATGAACATGCTTGGTAATATTATATGTCACATTGTCTGCTTCTGCAGGCAGCCTGCACAGAACACTCACTAAAGTCCAGCTTACAGGAAAATAAGCTTTCATTTTATGGTGAATGCTACACCATCAATACATGGTTGGACGCACTTTACTGGCTAATTATCACTGTACCGTAGCATTAAGATTTCCTTTAACTGAAACTGAAGGGACCAAAAGCGCACAAACGTATGTGAAGAGCTGTGTCAGCATAATGTCCATATAAATATTGCATCACTTATTAAACGTCCAGTCAGGGTTTCTGTACAGTCAAATTATATCCTTTTTAAAACCTTCAGATGTCCAACGTGCCTGGTTTACTGAACAAGACATTAATAAATATAAGCATCAGTGCAAAATTATATATAAAAGCTGCTGCCCGACATAAGCCTCATGCAAAGCACATTCACAGAACTCCTGACGAGAAATCTGAGGAATGTGCGTCACATATGATGAGAAGCTGTGGCTGTTTGATGTAGCAGCGCCTTGGGACAGAGATCAAGCTACATTATAAAACAGTTTGTGAAAGGTGGGCAGGGGCACAAGGAATGTTTTGGGGCCAATAAAGAGATTTCCAGCTGTGCAGCCAGATGCCCAGGGGTGAAGTAACATCAAACGGTAACAGATAGTCTGCTGTGACTGATAATTTCCTATCTTAAGATGACAGACACCTCCTCAGTTCACCTGAGACAAAAAACTAACTTGCACAGAGGATTGTTACAAAGTGATCTATGGACAAACAGCAATCAAACCTTTTCCAGAAAACTCAATACTCAAGTCAGAGAGGCAGCTTTTGTATATTAATTTAAATCCAAATATTCTATTCAACTTCCGATATTTTCATCAAAACTCTACAGTGGCTTCTGAAAGTATTCAGCCCTTCACTTGCAGCACTTTGTGTTGCACATTTAAATGCAAATATTCCTACCATTTACACTCAATAACCCATTACAACTAAGTGAAAACATGGTTAATAGTTGACACCTTTGTAAACCAAAAATTTAAATCTCTCATTTACAAAAAGTATCAAGAGCCTTAATTCTGTAGTTTTGTAGAAGCCAGTTTTGTCCCAGTTACAGTATCCAGTCTTCTTGGGTATTTCTTTACAAGCTGTGCACACCTGGATTTGGGCAGTTTATCCCACTCTTCCTATCAGATTAAAACAAACATGACATACCTGAACACAAATGGAGTGCAACAGCAAGGGGTCAAAATATTGAATGAAATAAATTCAATTTAACAAAAGCAACAACTGCTGCATACAGTTGGCAGTCTGGCATCAAAAGAAAAGAACAGCCTACTGATGTTTCTATCTTCTGCAGTAGCAGTCAATGCAAGACAAGTAATAGTAACACCCACTTCAGCAATATTAACCCAAAACTCCTCCTGGTCAAATCAACCTGATCAGTTTTAGGGGCATCTGGCTGTCAGCAACTACTGTGGTTTTCATCTTGCTGTTGGTGGTCACTGAAAAGAATTCATGTATAAAAACATGCATGTGTACCAAATTCTCCATAAGATATGCAACCCGGTTCACGTAAAAAAAAAAATAGATGCATTATCCTTTTAAATGCAGATGCATAAGTGAGGAGTATGTGCAATGAATGCAATCAGTACTTACAAATAACATTGACCTAACTCAACCTGCCATTTTTAAGAGTCTCAGTTTGCTAGGTGTGAAGATAATGCATGGCAAGCTGCTTGTAAAAGAGGAAATCTTTACCATTGAAGAAGTCTGCATGAACTGCTTTTTCATTGGCGGCCAGGTCCATCAGCAGTCCTGTGCTTCCCCCAGCCTGCCAGAGAACAAACATGCAGCTCAGAGGCACAAATGAACCCAAGAAAGGTAGCCAGCAGCTTACTGGCTAGACAACTGGCAAAGCTGCCTATTATAAATGTAGATAAATTAGTCACAATCATTTTTGCTGCATCTCCCCATTTTCATTCCAACCATTTGACAGCTCGTTAATCCATAAAGCAACGCATTGTTCAGTTTCTCATCTGTTTTCAGACTCCTTGAAAATGCTCAATCACAGAAAGTGTTACTTAATACAATAGATAACATCAGGTAGATAAAATTGTTTTATGCCAGAGGTGAGTAGTACGAGTTATAATTACTCCGTTGTATCTATTTTTACAAGTAACTCTTAGGAGCAAACTGTACTTGTTGGAATAGTTTTTCATGCAGCACGTTTTACTTATATTCTAAAGCGGTAAGTCGATTTGCACGTTATAGAACTTACAAGCTAAAATGAACAGTAACATTACTTGCTAAATCAACTCTACCGGAACATTAACGTTAGTGTCTGGGAAACGTAATTAACTCTAACTTATAACTAGCACTTAATATTAAACACCTAGTTAACTATGGCAGCACTGTGCTGTAACAAAGGTAGAAAACTACCCGCCTGCAACCGCTAATTTAATCATTGTTGATTTGCGGTGCTAAGCTAGTACATTAGCTAGCTAGTTAACAAACCTCGTCCAGATCCACGTACGGACCTGCGCCTTCTGGAAACATCTCATCTACGGCTGGTTTCATGGCAACTGAGTTTGACTGATCCTTTAGTGGCATAGGTGAACAAAACAGACGTATTTTTGTCAAACCCCAATCCAATTGTTAGCACGCGAAACTGCACCACACAACTACCCACCAGTTTTAAGCTAGTGTGGTGTCTAGTGACTATGTGTCCGATGTGAAACCCAAGTCAGGCGACAATGTTCCGTAGTAGGTCAGAGGTGGAAAGTAGCTACTGTATGTAGGCGATCAGCTGCTGTGTTTGAGTATAAATTTGTGATTTTGTATTCTTTATTATTTCACCTAGGCTGTACTGCTTATATGGGATGCCTGAATAGTTACTGCTATACACTATTGTATTATACCAATTCCAGTTTTACTCCTCTCAGAATTGGTGGACAGATTTTTTAAAAGTAAAAACCAACAAGTGCACGACTGAAACTTGTCATTTCTTTACTCCAGTGAAATATAATAAACACAAGCATTTGACAACATAACCACAACATTATCTCAGAACCTAGTACTACTAACTAAACTGTACTATGTACAAATGCCACTGTTGTTCACATGTCAATAAAAACATTTTAGGTTTCAGATTCTCATAAGTATAGACAAAAGTAAGCCAGGTCCTAAACAATTTCAACAGACCCTGCACATACTGGTACCAATTCACTGTCACAGTTGGGGCAGCAGTACCCAATTGTCATCATCTGTTCAACTGTACTTGCAGTTATGTTCACACAGCTGTAGTGATACCAGCCTTGGCACCTGTCACACTGGACCATGTCAGCTTTTTCCTTGTACAGGTGACATATGCAGTACTTGCTTAGCATGGCATGTCTCTCAGCTATTGTCCAACTTGATTTTCTTTGTGTGTGGGGGAACATTTTTAGCTTCCCCTTTATCAGGCATGTGTGGAGATGCCCCCTCATCATATTCTGATTGTACTGGATATCAGCAGGATCAAAGCCTGAAGCCAGGGAGACAGCATTTGCAATGGCAAAGAGTCCACAGTCCACTGCCTGTTGCTCCTGCTGTGTACATTTCATGTGCACATCAATGATTCCATCTTGTCCCCTACAATATCTCCTATAGACAGTAGCAAGTTGCTGCCTCAGGGTCAAAGGAATGCAGCTTCCTGGCAGCAGAGAATCATAGAGCTGAACTTGACCTCTGGCTGAAGTTGACACCAACCAGTGTTGGTCAATATGATGAATCTGGATGGCCTCTGCTGTGGCGGGCACCTGTTCTGCAGCTGTGGAAATCACAGCTGTGTCAGTGAGTCCTTCCAGAAAAGGAAACTCCTCTCTCAGGAGACTCTGGCTGGCATTTATGTGCTTATCATTCAGCGGTTGCCCAGTTAGCAGCACATTCCGATCAGCGAAGGAAAGAACGGTCCCCTCTACTGTACACCATGCTTGTGTCTTTGTGTGATCAGATGTTTCTAGGTCTAACTCTAGCAGGGGTGTTGTATTTGACTGGTCTACAGATAACAGGCTGTTTGTAGGTAATGGGTTTGTAACATGCACTGGGACTTTTTTTGTGATTTCAGCTGGTACACTAAGTCTGTTTGTGTACAGTTGTTTTGGGCACCTATATACCCTCTTCAGTAGTGGCACAGCATTATGGATGACTACTGTACTTTTCCGCTTTCTACTTTTTGTGAAGTTGTTTAGTGCCATCCTTTTATCATGTGGAATATATTCTTTTACCTCCATTGCCATATCTTCCAATGTAATTTCCAGGCTTTGTAGGAAGTCCTCATTGTCCACAGAAATGACAGCGTCACTTATGGCCTTGAGACGTTCAATGCATCGTCTTCTGGTTGTGTTGACCGTCTTTATTGTTTTTGTTCTTGTTGGAAGTTCTTGTAGGAGTGCTGCATCATCTTGAAGTAATATTTTGTTGCCCTGGTCTTCAACATCCTTCTCTTTAATCTCAGCTTCATGGTCTTGACCTTGCAGGATTTCTTCCCCAGGTAGTGAAACTGGAGGGCTTGAGTTACGACAGACTGGGTCAAGGGTGAACAGTGGGTTGTCCCTATACTGTGGGCAGAGGACATCCCATGTCCACCCTGCTTTGAAGCCTGCACAGAAGTGTTTACATGGAAGTCTGTTCCTCTTCCAGTCTTCACAAGTGCATGATGGCAACGTAGAGCTTGACCCTAGTGTGACAACATGACTTTCTCTGTCAGACTCGCTCGTCACTTTGAACGTTCCATAAGACATTTCTGTGATAGAGTCAGGACCAAGGTCTGCTGTCATGCGATCTAGGATATGCATTACCATGTCACATGGTCGGTTGTGAAGGAAATTGTGTATGCTGTCACTGTGCTTGTACCCAGAGGAATACTGGATGTTCAGCTGTGTGTACCTGAAAAATAATACAAGCATCCTTTAAGTAAACTGGCGATTTACTGGATCAATTTGCATATATAGGAGTAACTGGCAGCTATGGTAGTAAAGTGTGTTTCTCATTGTAGATTCTCATTTCACAGACAAAATTTCTTTAACCCAATTTATTTTGAGAATTTTGTTTATTTTATTATTTGGTGGGGGGGGCATTACCCCATTCCTAATAATAATTTAATGCATGCAAAACCAAACTTACTTCTTTTGCCACTGAGGGATGAAATCATTGACAATAACTGTCATTATTTCGCTCATAGTGCTGGTTTTGCAGTTCTTCAGGGGCCTATACTGGAAAGTCTCGTTCAGCCTCTCCAGCCCGTTATTGGTTGTGATGAAGTTTTGCAGCGCCTCTTCACGGAAAACTGAGGCCCATCTCTGAAAGTAAAAGTGCTGTTATACTGCTTCTCCCTCCCTCATATTTGAAAATGATAAGTACTGGCTGGGTCATGACAGGTAATTAACAGTGTTATATTACTGTATTTTTATTATATTATATAACAAGAGGAATACCTTTGTTTACAATTTGTAATTAGAATTCACATTTTGTATTGAATGACATGCAAAAGGGATAGATAATTAGTTAGATACAGTTGAAGTCAGAAGTTTACATACACTGAGGTTGAAGTCTTTAAAACTGATCTTTAACCACTCCACAGATGTTAACAAACTCTCTACAAACCTGACTCGGTTGCACCAGTTCTGTCAGGAGGAATGGGATAAAGTTCCAGCAACATATTGTGGAAGGCAACCTGAAACATTTGACCGAAGTTAAAACATTTAAAGGCAATGCTACCAAATACTGAGTGTATGTGAACTTCTGACCCACTGGGAATGTAATGAAAGAAATAGAGTGAAATAAATCTTTTTCTCTACTATTATACTGATATTTCACATTCTTAAAATAAAGTACTGTAGTGATTCTAACTGACCTAAGACAGGGAATGTTTATAGGATTAAATGTCAGGAGTTTAAATGTATTTGGCTAAGGTATATATAATCTTCTGACTTCAAATGAGGAATATTATGAATGTTCCGGGCGCACCCTTAGAGATAGGGTGAGGAGCTCAGTCACCCGGGAGGAGCTCAGAGTAGAACCGCTGCTCCTCCACATCAAGAGGAGCCAGCTGAGGTGGCTCGGGCATCTGTTTCGGATGCCTCCTGGGCGCCTTCCTAGGGAGGTGGGAGGAGGCCCCGGGGAAGACCCAAGACACGCTGGAGGGACTATGTCTCTCAACTGGCCTGGGAACGCCTCCCTGGAGGAGCTGGAGGAAGTGTCTGAAGAGAGGGAAGTCTGGGCATCTTTGCTTAGACTGCTGCCCCCGCAACCCGGGTCCGGATAAGCGGAGGAAAATGGATGGATGGATGGATGGATGGACTTCAAATGTATGTATGCAGATATAGACAACTTTCTATTAACATTGCATGTGTTCTTACCTTCTCTTCAGGCAGCCATGTTGTCTGAAGCCATGTCTGGAAGAGGGGATTCCTGGTCCACTCCTCGCTCTCCTGAAGTTGCTTGAATGCCTGCTTGTATTCCTGCAGAGTACCAACTGCCGCGATTCTCTTCAGGGAGGCTAGTGCTTCATCTTGGTTCAGCACGCCATGGTCCACATTTTTCATCCACTCAAGCCATGCCTTCTCCCGGTGGAAGTCACACAGCACAGCTTTGCAATCTATTGCAGACGATTTAAGAGGCAGTTAGATCAGAACTATGACAGGTAAGTTTGGTCAAACCAGCTTGGGATCTTGGCCTTTTGCTTCATCTCATGTGTCACCAAGATGCAAATATCTGCTTCTCTGAGGTCTCTGTATGAACTGTTATGACATACTATAAAATTTTAAAAGAGCAACCATGGAAGGGAAACGGATGAGGTCATGCTTACCTGTGAATACGCTCTCCACAGCGTTGATTTCTGCCATGCTGAAATCCACCATGAAGTAGCCTGGAGACCATCCTTCATTCCAGGTCTTCAGCACATGTAGGGCCTCTGACACTGCCTCCTTGGTCTCATGCTGGACAACGAAAACTGCTGCAACAACATAGCACACATTTGTGCGGACCCACAGGAAAAATAATGGTAGCTCATGCCTCGTCAACTTAAACGCAGCATCGAGGAGACAGCAGTGCTGTCCGTACAGGTGCAATAGTCGCTGCTGCCATTTTGACTGGTAGCATAGAAGGAAACCTTCACTCGCACAATGAGGCCTTACAAAGATGTCACCAGGATCTGTTTCTGTCCATGTCTGTGCAAGAATCTGTTTGAACAAAAAAAAGCACATTGACTATTTTAGTTTCAGTTTATATAATTGAATTACCAGTATGTATGGAGCACTTTAGACCACAAGGGACAACAACAACTTAAACTTTATCACCTAAACCACTGCCAACTGTCTGATATGATGATAAATAGGACAAAGATCACTGTATAAAAACTGTATCTTTCATGTTGGGCCACAACACAGAATAACCCAACTACTTTTTTTGTAGATGGATTTACTCCTATGCTTGAGTGAAAATGATGTTGGCCGTAACACTGCCCATAAAAAAATGTCTGCTTACCTGCAGTTTCTCTTGATCGCTGCCGGAGTGCAAGACAGCATCCCATGCACTTTTCATAATGTTCCTCAGGTTTTGGTGCAGGGTGTAGTAACGATACCGTGCCACTGGAGGTGGCTTTTCACCTTTGACGAGGTTACCCTTTACAAACTCTCTGACACGCCTGCACATTTCACTGACACTGGTCACTCCCTGTTTTAACAGCTCCTTTATTCTCTCCTCAACCCTGGGGTTAGCTGCTTTTTGAACACATGCCACCTGAAGAAAAATATATATATTGTTGTATTCCGTACATATTATGATAAATGAAAACAACTGCGGTGTCTGACCACCTCTGCATGGTGAAAGTAAGAAATATTTGTTGGGGTACAAGCAGCTCTGGATCACATGAGTACAGAGGATAGTTACCTCTCCAAGGACAGGATGACCGATATGATCCTCCAGTCGTGGTAATAATACATAGTAGGTGTTTTCCCAGACTAGTAGCTTGTTCTCTTGTAGGAGCCTTCTAAGTGCCTGTCCTGCGTTCTTTCTTTCCCACACACTGTCCTTTTCAATCTGAAGCAGTGGAAAAAGTTCATAAACATGAGAACCTTTATGTAGACACATCTGATTTTAGTTGTCAGTTCTGTATCACGTACAAGGGGGGAAGGAGCTGACTTTGTGCTCTTTGAAATTAACTGCCAGCTTCCGTTACATACGGAACATACATCAGAATCAGCTTAATCACCAAGTATGTTGCGCATACAAGGAATTTGTATTTTAGGCAACAGAAAATAAACAACAGACAATAGAATTGCACAATCAAAGGTAGGAGAAGTGTGGGAGAAGGAGTAGAGGCAGTATTCATAAACATTATATACATATTTTGAGCTTTAAGACTGGTGCATGTAGTACAGGTCCTACATGGAGGGCAGGCTGGTACTGGTCTGCAGTCCTGGCTGTTTGCTGGAGTCTGTTCCTGTCCTGTTTGGTTGCTGAGCCAAACCAGACAGTGATGGATGAGCAGAGAACAGATTTGATGACTCTTCTGTAAAAATGTATCAGCAGATTCAGGGGCAGGCTGAACTTCCTGAGCTGGTGCGGGAAGTACATCCTCTGCTGTGTCTTCTTGGTGATTGTGCTGATGTTGGATGACCACCTCAGGCCTGGGAGACAGTGGAGCCCAGGACCTTGAAGGACTCTACTACTGATACAGTGCTGCTGAGTTTGGGGGGCTTTTCCTAAACTCCATTGTCATCTCCACTGTTTTGAGGTTGCTATGACCATACCACAGGGCCAGTTGTTCAACCTCCTGACTGTAGGCCAGCTTGTCACCATCATAGATAAGACCGATGATCGTTGTGTATTCTGCGAATTTCAGGAGTTTAACAGAGGGGTCCCCTGAGGTGCAGTCATTGGCGTATGGGGGGGACAGTGGTGCAGTCATCTCCCAACCAGAAGGTTGAGAGTTCGAATCTCGGTGCCTGCAGTCCACATGTCAAAGTGTCCTCGGGCAAGACACTGAACCATATCCTTGTGCTGATTGTCCAGGTGCTGGATTTTTTCCAGCCTCACCTGCTGCTTTCTGTCTGTCAGAAAGATCATGATCCACCGACAGGTTGGGACAGGCACAGTGACATGGGTCAGTTTAGAGTGGAGGGTGTCTGGGATCATGGTGTTGTACACTGAGCTGAAGTCCACAAAGAGGACCTGTCCGTAGGTCCCTGGGGAGTCGAGGTGTTGCAGGATGTAATGCAGCGCCATGTTGACTGCATCATCCACTTACCTGTTTGCCCAGTAGGCAAACTGCAGATGGTCCAGCATTGATGTCCTTTGGGTGGGCCAACAACAGTCTCTCAAAGCACTTCATGACCACAGACGTCAGATAGATTAGATTAGATGAAATAGACAGATACTTTATCGATCCTGAGGGAAATTCAGGTATCTAGTAACAAAACAGCACACCAAAATAAAGAAATGTATAAAAGTATAAGACTAAAATACAAAAACACTAAATATACAAAAAATTATTTATTCATTTATTTTTCTGAGACAAAAAGAGAGTAATAACGTGTGCCAAGTCCCTGGGGGCGGCTGTGGTTCCTTGGGTAGAGCAGTCATCTCCCAACCGGAGGGTCGGAGGTTCGACTCTCGGTGCCTGCAGTCTATGTGACACACCCCCAAGTTGCCCCTGATGGTTAGAGCCATCGGGTGAGTTGGCGCCACAGATGGCTGCCTAGGTTCTGTACCAGAAACAAATTCCTTGTGTGTAACATACTTGGCCAATAAAGGTGATTATCCTTATACAGTATACATAAGGTATACATAATAAATTAAATGTGCATGAGGTACCTGTGCACAATGCCAATTTGTGCAGGAATGAACATTGTGTACAAGGATAAAAATGTTACTTTAGTTTTTCTTTTTCTGTTTTTGAATGAAGTAAAAAAAAGTGGCATTATCTTTTAAAGCATTACTGCTTTACTTTCAGTGCTTAAAATGTTTTGTACAACTCTGTGTGTGTAAGGTAACTGAAGAAATGAATACAACTGATGGCTTTACCTTATGGTCAGGAAACGTGGCCACCCTTGTCACCTTGAGCTCTGCAGGGCAGCCAATCTTTTTAGTGTCTTGTGCCAAGAATCTTCTTTTCTTGTGCACTTGGTCTCCAGACTACAAGGAAAGGAATGAAAATACTGTAGATGGTTATCTCAAAAGAACAGAAAATAAAACACTCATTTCACTTATGTTCTGTGGAAAAGTATTTGAGGTAAAGAGGGGTACAGAAAATTGCTAGTGAACCAGAAGTGGAATTCAACATGTCAAGAGTATGTGTATTTGGTATATTACTTACTACCATGTTCTGAGCATATCTCTCCTTCTTTTTCTTTGCCCTGTCTTTTCCTAAGTGGCACTCAAAGGACATGCTCCCAATGAAAATAAATGGCATCCCAGAGAAGGGAATGGTTGGAGACTTTCCATCGTTCTTCTTCTCAAAGAAGACCCTGTTCTTTGCAGATGGCTGCCATTCTGTTGGAAATAAAAATTCAACTATAGATGTGTGCAGAATTTAACAGGATTTCCTCATGCCAAAAGCGGTCACACATTTTCTGAGGACAATAATTTATTATAATGTTTTTATGTTGCAAGTCCATCAAGACTATACAAACTGAAGATTCACCAACTGATGTAAAGATGTTAATTACCAGATAATGTTGACTCAGAAAATGACGTGAGTGAAGTTTATTGATATAAAGTTTGAAAATAAATACATAAAGTACTGGTAAAGTATCAGAATTCAGATGAAACGTTCTGGTGAAATAACCAATCCATACAGAGGCACCAGTGAAACGTCTCTTGGAGACACAAAAGTGTCCAGATACGCCCCTGATGAGGCGTCATCTTTGTTTTGATTCGGAAACACAACTTGGAAAACAGGTTAACAAAGTGATTTACTTTATCTTTCAGTATGCTGAATATTTCATTACCCATGTGTTTGGAAGAGTGTCGGGGGATTCTGGATATACCTTCTGAACAACCGTAAATATTTTAAAAGACCTTGTGGGTTTTTCTAACATCGCCGGTTATTAGAACTTTCATGTTCTGTGACCGGAATATATAACCTGGGACTAACATCCACATAAAACATACGATTGTACATCAACTTACCCATATTATTGAAACTTTTGTTATTGCAGACGCTCACATATTTACACTGAGTTGTTCCCTCAGTTTCTTTGATCAATTGTTCAACTTCTTGGCGAGAATGGCAGACACAAACACGGGACATTTCCGGCTCTGACGCATGCTCTGCCATCGCTTCCCCACTGACCACCTACTCCCGAGCTTTGGAATCTAACGCTAACCGTCAAACATCATCGCCAGTGACTTCAGCTAAAATATCATACAATCACCGGGGCTAAAGTGATCCTTTAGTTGCTTATATGAACAATATCACTGTGGAACAGTCAGACTACAGTTACAAGAGAAAATACACTATGAGCTACGCAGCTATGCTGCTGTAGCGCGAGGTTTAAATAAATCCGATGGGAAACCTAGGTCAGTCAACAAAAGTTCTGCTCGCTGAAATTTTGAGTTTTCGTGAATGAAAGTGTCCTCGTTCATTGTCAACTTTACCACGTACATTGTGCCTTTATTGCAAAATTTGTGATTTCTTACATAACCGCTGTGCTATGTTTCATACCACATTATACTTTTTCAATGGTGGAAAGTACCATATTTTGCTACAGTACTTTGTACTTCTACTCCACTACACTTCAGAGAGAAACTATGTTGCTATTTTTTCTGACAACTTCAGTCACTATATATTTTAAGATTAGGTGGGAACACCCTGTTTCACACATAGTCAAACTGAGTTACTGTGTTGAGTTTACCTTCCTGGTCACAATCATTGTACAATACTAGTCAAACACAGAATCATCCTCCCCCTCCTTGTCAAAAATAAAACAAAAGTGTCCAGATACGCCCCTGATGAGGCGCCAACTCAAGTTGCATTTCAGAGAGATTTTTGTCACAGCTCTGCTGGCAATCATCCTGGTCACATTGCTTTGCCCTTGGTGAAGATCTCCTTGGCTCTCTTGATGGTGGAACCGTGGAATATCCAGCAGGGTTCATGTTCGACCCAGGATCCAGGTGAAGTCGACGTGGAAGTGCCTCAGGATGTCCATGCAGGAATACACCAGGACTGATTTCAGATAGTCAGTGGACAGGCTCCAGTATGGGGAGTATGGCAGGTGTGTGGCAAACATACAAGACACAACACATAAGAGGTAAGATACACAAAATCTAAAGAAACTAACACTACAGTTACCTCCTTTAACAACACATAACAGCAGCAGTTATTCTCAAAAATGTACCAAATTAGGTCACACTCGCCATAGGAATAACTTATTCCCAGCTTGGCAGGATTCTGCATATCCTCTACAGTGCTAGTCCCTTCAATTTTCCTCAGCTCCCCTGTTCTGTTTGATTCCAGACAGTGAAATTTCATGTGTATTAAAGGGAACCATGCAAGTATTACCTCCTGACTCCACATTTGCACAAAGAAATTGCAGATAGGACTCAGTATTTCAGAGCTGACCATTCAGATGGAATTATCTGTCTTCAGAGTTAAATTGGTTTCAATGCACTGGCCTTTCTCAAACTGGGCCGGCAGTCTGGCAATTTCAAACCATCGCCCCATAAACTGTGAGAGCAAAAAAAGACACACCAGTTCAAAGGCAATTTAGAGCACTGTGAGTGGAGAGTATGAATAAATTTACATTAAGGAATTCAGTAAAACATATGGTAGGTGTCCTATCAAACCCGTTCTCTACCAGTGGTACTGTTGTTAAGTACAATTTTGACTTTTTTGAGAATTCCCATTCTGGAAACATCTAGTAAATGATTTATAATGCACTATTATGTACTTCTCAGCAGATATGAGGCTGTATCAAATATTTCCTAATATACAATATTTAAAAAAATTATAACCTCTTCTGGGAAGTTTTATTATCATTCCTGATCTGTTTATACATCAGCCTCCAAGTATAAACAGATGAGGAACAATAATGCTCACAAAAGGAGATGACAAATACACTCATAAAAACTATCTGCTCACAACTATGTTATAGCAGGTACAGTAAGTGAATTACCATCAGTGCTAAAGTATAATTATTAATGGCTACTTGATATGGAGTAAAATACGGTATATAGGTGTACTGTACTGTATGTGCTGCATATTTTTATGGATTTTGAAAAAACTGGATTAATTAATGATATATACACATAATGAATTTCATAGAAGTGGTTTCTGCTGAAAAAAAAGAACATTTTTAGTCATTTTTGCCCATTTCCATTTTGAAATGAAACTGAAACATTTTTTGCCACACACCATGATGGCAGAACACAATAACACAGACAAAGTCATTTTTTTTTTATCTGTACGTGTTTGAGGTTGAATGCAGGTTGAACAGCTGGTTATGGGCACAGTCACAGGTCTTCATTACCTGCAAAAAAGGGACACAGATTGAAAGCTGTAGAGCAACATTAAATAACAAACAGAAATCTGATATTAATAACAGGATCTAAGCACAGTAACTACTGAAAAGCAGACCAGAACATGCAGCAACAAAGCAGTCATGTTATCAGCTCTGCATGTGCGACACGTGGCAAGGAAGGTAATGAAAATTCCCCACTTACTACTTCAAGTCATCGGACAACCAGAATGACCATAAGGTTGACTCTGCACCTCTCTAAAACTATTTCACTGAACTGAATATTATCACTTTCATGAAGAGAGGATTTATAGCAGGACTGTTGTTTTAGACGGCATTAGCTTTAGCTAGATGTACCTAATAAACAGCCAGTTGAGTATAGACTAAACAGCACAGCAGCATCCTGACCTATAGGTCACTTAACTCTCCAGGTGTTCTGTGCTTTCCTGCAGACTGTAGCAGGAGAATGAAGCACCACATCACTGCCGTCTGCATTATATCTGCTGTTCAGCAACATTATTATGCAACCCAACAGTTGCACACACCTACAGCTGCCCACTAGGCGTTAAAGGAAACATCATTCAGTGAAGTGTAGGCCCATGCTGTGAGCGGTTGCCGAGCACAAACTGTCAGATTAAGAGGTCTGAGAGGATGATCTGGCTGACATTTAGTCAGAATTACCACCAAACATGTTTGGGTCAACCTTGTGGTACCCCGGGGAGTTCATTACTTCTGACATCCAACTAAACATGTGAAGAAAAACAAAAACAAGACTGATCTCTGTGGTTTATAAAGTCTACACTCAGCATAATGTAGCTTCTCTGCATGTGGGCACAAAGCAGTTAAGGAGGGGCTGGCCAGTTTACCACTAGAAAAGGAAGCTAAGCATTTAGGTGTCTTAACTATGGCCTAAAGTGCTAACAATGGATTAGTGAGGTAAATGTTGAAAGAGGTTTAGCACTCCCTGCTTAGGACCAGTGCTGCTTCAGTAATTACACATCAGTTGCAAGGTGCAGCAGGCAGTTGGATGGAAGATCATAGTGATGTCAGGACAGGGAGGGCTTACTGCAGGAGATAAGGCCAGCTAACAGAGATTAAATCAATCGGTATTTAAAAGGTCTTTTTCTTTTTTTTTTTAGTTAAGGCAGTTAACTGGCAGCAGACTGCACTCAGACCAGTTGAATTGTTAGTTGGAGGCCATTTATGTGGAAGTGAAAGAGAGACAGTGAAGAGACAGGTTCTTTGAGCTCTCCAAGGGCTTGTCATTAAAACATTTTTTTGTTTGTTTTTTTACCTAAAATTGGACAAAGCCAGCTTAAAGCTCTGCTTTCTGTTGTGAACTTAAAGGTAAGGCAATTAAAATGTCCTCTTTAAATATTTCCCAGTCTTCTCTTACATTTTCATATGCTTCATTGTGTGACAGATTTTTAATGGTGTATTTATTCATATTTAGTCTGCAGTTATTCTTGTAATACCACAAAATGTACGTAGCATATTCAAGACGTTACAGTACACTTGTCTGATGTGCAGACAAGTGATAAAAAAATATCTATAGCAACAAGCTTAAAATTCATGCACAGAGCTAAACAATTACCTCACATAATGCAACATGTTTCAAATGATAAACTGGGTCATGTAAATAAGCAATAAACTATAAAAAGGCTCAGGGAGAGATTAATCTAAAGGCCAATGCAATTACAGGAACAGCCCTGAAATCTGTCTAATTAACCCAACACTTAGCCCAGATTCTCTTTTTAGCACTAAAATGAAAATTATTAATTAGCCATTTGTTTCGATTAAGTGCCATGATTTGTGTCTGTTACATATTTATACATACAGTATTTATATTCAACACTTTGAGCTGTAGTTCATCACTTAATGAACGAGTCTGATAAACTCTAATCTGCTTCTACTGAAAGAATATACATGGCTGTAGCATGTGTGTATGTGTTGTGTGAGGGGATTAGGAAGGACTAGACAATACTTCTGTCTTGTCTGATATGCCCTCCTGAGGGCTCCATTTAAGTCGTCAGCAATTTTTCCCTTTAATTCATTCTTGTAATGAGATTAACCAGGCAGCAGTAAATCCAAGGTGTCCAATCTCCGGATTTGGCAGCTGCAGTGTGGCCTCTGCTCGTTTGGGAAATATGACCAGAGCTTGTTGAAACCAACAGTTTCATTCACAGCATACAGAAGCCACTAAAATTCACATGGGAGGTTCAGTATCTAATAAAGAAGCCTGAACATGTGTTACAGCAGTATATATACTTTAAATTTCAGGCTACAACTTCACTTAAGAGACTCAAAAGAAACCCAGAGTGTTAGCTGTGATCAAACAGGCCGTATAAAGGAATCCTCTGAATGGCTTAAATTCATACAGCCTGGCCCAATTTTGTGTCTCTTCTGAGAAATAATTATTCTACAACCTTTAAAAGTCCTGATACAAAGATGGTAACAGGAGATGATATGTCTCCTTGCTCTATATTTAAAAGTGTTATAAGTTACATTATCAGCAAATCTTTCATACTTTAAGGTCTATCATAAATCACATCCCTTTTATTTATGGTACAGTATGTATATATTTAATATATTCTTATGTATATGATGGTTTTATTTTTAGTGTTTTGAATGTTGTCCTGTCTGTCCTCTTGCACTATGAATTTATGAGTTGTGGAAAGTATTGAGAACATTTACTTAATACTGTACTGAAGTACATTTCTAAAATACTTGCACTTTACTTGAGTATATAACTTTTATGATATTTCTTAAAATCCATCCAAATGCTTGGAAGAGTGAGGAATGAAGAAATGTTCTTCAAAGATCATCAGGTATTTATTTTTTGGAAAACTGGGGGCTTGTTTCTGCGACCCAAATGTAATGGTGACACATAAGAGGAATAAACACAGGTCCCTGTTTTCCTGAGGCAATAGCTTGTCACAGTTGGTGGTACTAGTTGGTCTGAGCACAGGTTTACTTGATGCACAGCTTCTGTAGAGGCTCAGGGATCAAACCTAGGTTACTTAATTCACTTTTTATTTTCATGATTTAATAATTAAGTGTGTCCACAATAA